TGTCCTAAGACAGCCACCCATCAGGCCAATCAGAAGGTCATCCCAATTCGAGGCTTGAGTCAGGAAAGATCAGCATTTCTTTTGAACTAAGTAATTGTTGAAAAATATATTTAACTTCTCGGTTGTAACTCGATGGAATATTTTGAATAAGGATATGAGAAGATGAGGAGTGTATATTACTTTCAGTGATTGGGTAAAATTTTAAAACTATAATTAGTTAGAATAAGTAAGTTAAGAAAGATGTTTCTTCGTCTTGTCACGAGCGTGGGACAAAGAAAAAATTCTGAGTTCTCATGAGGAATCGAACATCAGACCTTCGGATTGCGAAGTTCATATGATACGCGTCATCCAGGACGCGTGTCATATGAACTTCGTAATAGACCTCGCTCACCGAAGAGTCTCTGTGGCTCAGTGGTAGAGCCTCGGAGCGCAAATCCGAAGGTCTGAGGTTCGATTCTTTGTCCCACGCTCGTGACAAGACGAAAAATTTTAATTCTTCACCGAGCTCAAAACTTACCATCTCTACTATTTCTATCTAATAAGTAAGTTTTTGAAACAATACACGTAAACTATTCACTTTCAACGGATCACATTGTTTTATATTTCTAGCACAAGATGGTATAATTTAACTGAAGTAGACGTGGCCGCCTAATTACACGGAGTATGAGACGCTGTCACTTACATGCAAATAGGTATCAAGAATAACCGATTTGCGCCGAATTCAATACTCCATGGAATTGCTTATTTCAAAACAGCTTGATCACAGTGTGAAGTTTTGCTGTCACTTTTTGAGACTATTACTTGCAATTTTGATTATTCTTCTTTGTTTCGAAATCAAATATATCTTGTTAGACGTTTTTTCGGTTATCAATATCCAAAACTTTTTGCATATTACATGCTAGACTGAGCACGACTTTAGAGATGCGTTTTATACTCACGTATTAAGTAAGACGTGGAGATGTTGATACTGTTTATTCTTCGGCTCTCGTTTGTTTTTACCGATGCTGTGGCAGAGGTCAAGGATGATCAGCCTCCGTTGATAATAGTATCACTGGATGGAATGGATTGGCGAGCACTGAAGAGTCAACGATCCAAGACTACTAATCTAAACTTCATCGCACAAACTGGAGTCAACGCCGAATACATAAAAAATGTTATGCCGACCTCTACATGGCCCAATCATCATACTTTTCTCACTGGTCTGTACTCGGAAAGTCACGGTATTGTGGATAACAGATTTTGGGATCCTGTGTACGAAGAAGAGTTTATTTTCGCTTACGACTGTTCAAACTTTGATCCCAAGTTTTACAATGCATCAGAGCCAATATGGCTTAGTCTGCAAAAACAAGGAGGACGTAGTGCATCGTACTTTTGGCCTGCAACAACCAGTTACTCAGTCAAACCCACATACTACGAAAAGGAAACCTGCTTCGGCATAGATTGTGGTGCAATCGATTCTAAGGACCTTCCAAAGTACAGAAATAGAACTCTTCCACCTGGCTCAGGTGCGCCATACGTCCACTGTGTGTTCGACTTGAGAGGTCCGTGGTCGGCACGGGTAGATAAGGCGGTAGAGTGGCTTAGTTTGGACAAACCACCGCATTTCATCGCTCTCTATTTTGAACAGCCCGACATGGTAGGTCACTCACACGGGGTTTCCTCAGAGGAGTACAGGCAGATGGTGGAAAATGTTGATGTCAATGCCGTTGGATACTTACTCAAGCGTTTAAATGAAAGCGATTTTCTGCAAAAGGTGAACTTGATAGTCATTAGCGATCACGGAATAGATAACACTCCCGCGAGTCGTCGAGTGTACTTAGATGATTACATCGATCCCTCGAGTTACACAGTGCTACATACGGGGTCTGTACCAGCCCACATCTGGCCTAAGCTAGGAATGACAGACATCATTTACCAAAACCTTACAAGAAATTCAATACCTCATGTCCGTGGAGTTTACAAAAAAGAGGAAATACCCGATGAGTATCACTGGAAGAATAATCGTCGAATTCCTCCGATCTTTATCGAAACTGAAGTTGGTTGGGTGGTAACACGTTCTCGAAACGATACTTTGAAAGACCAAGGGTCACATGGCTGGCCACCTGACCAATCAAAAAGCTACTCAATATTTTACGCCCGCGGTCCCGCTTTCAGGGAAGGTGTAGTGGTGAACCCTTTCAACACCGTGGATCTGTACCCCCTGATGATCAAACTTCTTGGAATAAACCCACGTCCAAACAACGGCTCAATTGAAAATGTCAAAGACGTTCTTAGAGAGGGACAAACTACCGCCGGAAAAGTGCTGCATCACCTCTGCTTGAGGCTTGTGTTGCTAACACTTCTTATGGCCTTCGCATTTATTAACAATTGAAACAATTAAGTTTAATTTCTTGAAAGTGACGAGAAGGGCAACTGAAACCGAGCCAAAACACATCAATTTGCTCGTGATCAGTCTTCCTCAGGGTTTAGCAATTTTCTATTAAGTTTGCACGTTGGCTAGTATTGTCAGCTGCTTTTAGTGTTAAAGGTGTCACTACCTCAAGTTTTTATTGGTTTTAAAGTTTAGAAGGCTTTTTTAAACAGAGGGACGCTATCAGTAATCCTGTTTTCAATCCTGTTTTAAGTCTCTCAGCCTTTTTTATTGTAACCTTAGAAACAGCAATCACGATTTAAACCAGGTCTTTTGTACTAAATGGTTTTTATTGGTTGGCAGTAAACATCACCTAAATGGCTGTGTAGATTAAGTAACCCACTCAGCCAGTGATATACACTGCACATCGGACATGACCAACACTAAAGCCTCACACGCAGCCAATCAGACGTCAAGCTGTTCTAAACTAAACTTTTCAAAACCAATCCCGAATCGCTCACTTGTATGTAAATGTTCTTGAGGCCAGTGTAGCGTAATTAATCTTATTTGTCATTGGTTCTTCTGATCTGGTTATCCGTTGTAATTGGTTTGATTTTGCAATTTCACAATATCTTTGGGAAAAAGGCACTCTTTTTAACCCTTTTACTTCAAGATCTCATCAGTAATTCTCCTTACTGTCTGCCAAACGATTCTCATCATTTTAGTTTGGAGAATTTGGTATCGGATCAATTAGTAATCCCATAATTGATATTTTTCTTTATTCCCATCACTTGTCCGCACGATATTGTATAGATGAAGTAGGGAGAAATTCTGTCTTCGTCACCCACGGGAGTTAAAGGGTTATACGGAGTTATACAACCTTTCCCCTTTTAACTTTCTCCTATCCTGGCGACTTCGATGACGCAATGAACCCTACGGAATTTGATAATCTTACCTTTAGATAACCACCCTCACAATCCATATGAGAAAAACACAGAATTTAGTAAGGATTTTATTACAAGAAATGAAACGATAATAATTTCGTAGATACACAAGTTTGAGTTCGCTATACGAACAGTTTCTAGGACTCGCTTTTTTGTTATTAAAGTGCACACAACACTATCAGTGTGACATAAACTTAATTGCGCCATCACATGACAAATGATGCTTTCGGCATCGCTTTTTGCAGGGTAGTTGGACTTCAGTAGCTTCTCGCAGGAGACAACATTGCAACCTCAAAGGAAAAACTTCAATATTAAGTATTCAAAGTTCGACAGTTTCAAGACAGGGCCGTAAGTACCTTAGATTTTTAACCAACTATAGTTAGAATTAACACTCGTTTTTACAGGCCACATGGGCGAAGGAATCTTCAAACTTCGACTTGAAAAAATGGCTTGTCAGGCAAATGTTGAAAAAATGCTTTTCCAGTCCACGGTAAAAAAAAAAAAAAAGTTTGTTCATGATTTTAACTAGCACGATAATAATGGTTAGAATTTAACTTTTTTCTTTAAAATTGAAATAAAGGGCACAGTACGCAACGGAAAGTATTCCACCTCGTCGCCAGACTCCCAACCACATTCCAATCATCAGTGTTTCTATCGTAGCTCTCAATACAATTTGTGCCTGAACCTCCAAAGACAAACATCATATCGTGAGTGACTCCTACACCAAAATCACGGTGTGGATAATTCATCGGAGCAATAAAACTCCAAGTATTTACCACTGGATCAAACACTTCTGCTGATTTGAGGCTACTTTTTCGCACATCAAATCCGCCAACGACGTAAATTTTACTTCTCACTACAGCAACCCCGTGTCGAAAGCGTTCCGTGTTCATAGGCTCGACCGATTCCCAACGGTTACTCGCAGGATTATAACATTCAACCGAGGCTACAGTTTTGTCCCCTGGGGGTGTATTTCCACCAATAGCGTAAACCTTTCCTAGGAGTCCAACAGCTCTGTGAAAGCTTCTACGCATGCTCATGTTTGGAAGTTTACTCCATGCGCGCGTAGCAATGTTGAAGCTTTTTGCGCGCTTTCCACCTCCTACCACATAAATCGAGCCCATGCTCTCACATACATCAAAATCGCTCTCTTTGATCCCATTGCCAACTTGGACCCAAGCATTCAGCTTGGGGTCGTATTTTTCAATGCGTGTACCCCCTCCTAGCACAACATACAGGTCTTCGTTGACAGCCACCGCGCATCCTGCAGTTTGCGCCATATCACTTGCGGGCGTGCAGCTTCCACTTTCTAAGTCAAATGTTTCAATCCTGCAGGACAACTCACCAATCAGGTATAGTACATTAGGTGATTTTCGTCTCGTCACTGCCCTCTTCTTGACACTCAGTGGAGAAGTCAAAAGAGTTATGGCACCCTCTACGAACTTCTTCCAATTCTCTTCACCAAGAACAAGCTCATCTTTTAAGACAACGTTTTCCAAATATTCTGTGCTCATGCAAGGAAAACGAACTAACTCGAAAATCTCCTGCAGAAAATTAATGAGACAAGGTCATTTTCTACCTGAAATGGGTCAAATGAAACAAGAAATGTGAGGAATTGTAATAGTATCCAACAAGACTACTTATTAGTATGCAGATGCATGAGCTTAGTGGTTAGTACACAAGGCAACGGATCGATAGCTCTAGATTCAAGCCCTGGCTGAGTCGTTATGCTTTGTTCTTCCGTAAAACTCTCACAGTGGCCCTTTTCGCCTATGGGGATCAAAAGGGTTCCGGGATATTGTCAAGGAAACATGTGGAGATTTTGGGAAGGTCACCTAAGTTGGATCGGTATCTTAAGCAAATGGAAAACTTCATGTCTCTTAACGATGCACGAGAGGAAAATCTCCGGCTACTCAGGCCCTTTGTCGGGAGTATGGTTCCCCGTTCATGGGCCGTCCCCCTTTCCGTTCGACTCATCTACAGAATGTTACTAAAGGGTTTGAAGATCGGCAGAAATTTCGCACAGAATTGATATTGCATACATTTAACAAATTAACTTACGGAATATTTTATCCTCTCTCCTCTGTCATGCTTATACCACCTGATAACAGCCTCAAACACGTCCTCCTCCATCTTAACATGCAAGCGATCACTTTCCACGATCTTACTGAGTTGCTGAGGAGGAATCAATACGAATTCACTCTCCCGCGACACTTCTAAGAAATTCCAACTGATGAAACTCCTCACTTTAGACTCAAGATTTCCCAATGAATACTGCATCGCCAGCGACTGAATACCGAGGCAGTTTTCAATCCTAATAAGGGTTCCCAGGAAATCTGCACATTTCTGAACGACAAGCTGGATTTGAAATAAGCTCGCCACTGCAAGGATATTTTCCACGTTTGATTCGTTGAGATTCATTTTGCATGTGTACAGAAAGTCTACAAGTTGTTCAACAGCGGTTTCGTCGCAATCCTGCAAAGATATCGTGCCTAGGTTGCTCTCGAGGAACCCCGTGGTCAACATGGCACGAAAGTACGAACTACAAGCTGCCAGAACAACTCGATGAGCGCGTATTTCCCTTCTGTTCACTCTGAGTGTGATGTCACATAGTTCATCGAGCTTTCTCATCTCCTGGAAGACCGAGAAGGAATCTTTCTCGTGATTGCCGATCACTTGTAAAACCTGATCGCCAAATTCCACCGCGGCCGCCATATCGGTATGAAGTTGTTGATAACACACAATCAGGAGCTTACTTGACGTACCCAAATGGAGCAAGCTTGCTGTTTACCTGCAGGCTCATCAAGAATCGAAATATGGCGGACGAGGCGAACGAGACATCAGAGAGCGAGTCAGTTGTCGATCCTGCTATGGTTACTCTTATAGGAAAAGTTAATTCACTTCATGAAGAATGCATTAAAATCCGACAGAGTACATCAGGTCAGTCTTTGCACTATTTTGTTCATAACGTGGAACATGCATCGATCCAAGGCATGATTCGTGACGCCTGTCAACTTACCGCTCTAGGTTACTAGCGCCTTCATCAAACAGGGGAATAATCTATATAATTTATGTTGTATTTGCAGACGCTGGTGAGTTAAATTTATTAGAAAAAGCAGAGGCCAAGTGCAAAATGTGCCTTCAACTCCTGGAAACAGGGTAAGCATGATGATGAAATTCTGGATAATATGTAAAATCTACAGTGAAACTTGTGTTAAGCAGACATCTGTGGGACTCTCACTTGTGCTTGCCTAAGAAAAGAAGTCTGCTCAGTACTGTGCAATGTAGATTGATTGTTAAATCCTGAGTTGGAGAGAATGTGTAATCAGGATCCCTTTAGATAGCGTTTCGGGTAGATAGAGCAAAAATCAAATGTCAGAATGTGATAACATCTCACTTTGTTAAACTATTTATTGTATAATTTCATTTTATTTCTCATTATACAACAGATGATGGATGATGTTTCATCTGAAACATGTTTTGTTTTCATTAAAAAATATAAGAAAAATGACCTTCAAGAGCATTGTGTGGTTCATCAAAGTGATAACTTACTTCATGCTGATACAAAGCCTTGAAAACAAAAATTATTGTAAAATTCCTCATTATGCTGTCTGCCTAATACAGGTTTTGAGTTAGAATGTGTCCATCTATAGAGCTGTGCTGTAGCAAAGCCTGAGTGTGACAAGTAACCATATTTTTAGGGAACTTGTATGAAACCCCTGATGTGCTAGGCACCTAAATTTCTGAGAAAAGAATCTTTGGACACCTGGAGATTCTTTTGACAGTACAGCTTTTTCCTAATAGAAACATTGAATGCATATTGAAAGGAAAATCAAATCTTCTTCTAATTTACAGTCAAGCTGCAGCTGGGAAAAAGGCAGTACTTTTCAAAGTTCTCCAACATTACTCACAGGTATGTTGCTATTCTGTATTGATGTAAATTTTGTTATAACAGTGCATTCTTAATTTTTATTCATCCTGCATATAAGAATTGAACATAATGTGCAATAGGATTTGAATAATGAGGAAATGACAGTGACAATGAAGGTATTTAAGGACAATAAAAAAATAATACTTTTGACAAGTTCAGATCAATATTTCTTTTACTTAAAAATTAAGTGACTAAAATTTTTTATCATCTTTTATACTTTTCTAAACAACAGCATTAAATAATGTTTCTATAAGAGGAGCTTGGATGAAATTGTGAGATAAGTCATTTGATTTCAGGCTCTTCTTGACGAAACATATGTTCTGGAGTGTAGACTGGTAAATGCGGATTTCCCAGAAGACAGATGTAAAGGAGACATAAAGCATTTAATTGGTACTGCAATCTTTTTTTGGATTAAATTTTTTTTTCAAGGATGGCTACTTAAGAACAATGGAAGCAGTAATAAAGATTGGGGTGAAGTCTCAAGTTGTGGAAGAAGGAGTCAATCTTTTCACTCATAAAGATCTCAAAATGTTTTCCTCTCACTGTTTGCCATACATTTCTTGTAACTTAATCCTAGAGAAATTGGTGTTAACCCTTTAACTGCCATGAGTGACCAAGACAGAATTTCTCCTTACAATATGAATACAATATCAGCCAGATAAGTTATGAGAATAAAGAAATATATCAATTAGGGGATAATTAGCTGATTCAATACTAAATTCTCTGAACTAACATTATAAGAATTGTATGGTTGACAGTAAGGAGAATTAAAAATTTGATCTGGACGTTAAAGCATTAGATCAAAAAGTGTTCTTTTAGCTGGTGTTTTTCTTTCTTCTCATCAACATTCTGCTTGACAAAATGTTTGAAATTGTAAGGAGAAATTACTTAGTGGTCACTTGTGGGACTGAAAGTTGGAAAAGGGGTCTCAGGGTAAGAGGGGGAATGATGATGGGTTTGTATGTATCATTATTTCTGTCATCTCAGAGAAAGTGTGATAAATCTCTAGTTTTTCTTTTTCATTATAAAGGCCAATTGGACCAGCCTGAGGAGCTGGTGAAAGAAATGCTTGGATCAGAGTACAAAGTAAGTAACTAGTGAATCATTCATGAAAAATAATTAAACTTGTGGATAAAGAGAACAAGGGGGGAGGAGAAGGGATAATATAGTGTGGAGTTTAAGGGGAACGTAGACAGAAGTGAAGATGAGGGTAAGTGAGTGAAATCACTGATCAAATGAGGAGACTGAGGATTGGTTCAAGATGTTGGGGAGGTACAGTGTGCTGCTTTGATAGGTAACTGCTTGACAAGTGATACAGATGAGGCTTTTGGTTCTACCCAGTTTAGAAAGGAAAATCAAGAACAAGTAAGCTAGGACAAGGAAGGTTGATTTCTGGTAACATTTAAGTAGAGGAATCAGTGAAGTCTGATTTGGATGTATGGTCTGGCTAATGTAAATGTAGATAGAAATGAATGAGAGGTGAAATGAGTGGGCAAAAAGGCTTAAGAGGTTTGTCCATAATTTTGTGCTTCATATAGTTATTGAGCAGTGTGGCTTCTAATTTATCCACAGTCTGGACAAATTCTAGGCTCAGATATACTAGAATGCTTGTTTTGGAGGCGTGGAGCTCTGTTCTACATGTACTGCCATACGTTGTTTAATGATCCACAAAGAAGGAAGCTTGATACAACACACATCAGACAGGTATCATCTGATTGTTTTAAATTGTTTTATTTGTTTTGTTGTTCGTTGGTTTCTTTTAATCAATACTCAAAGCTCTTTTCTCCTCAAAGGCAACTAAATGCACAAACCTCGCACCTTGATTCGTTACCCTTTGATCCTTTCAGTCTTCTATGTTAGTCTACGTTCGCAAAATTTTATTTAGCAGAGATAATTGTTTTCTCCCAAATATCTACTTGCTGTCTTCTCCCCTGCAGTGTGCCGAGTCAGGAGTCAAATATCTGGAGGCCATGTTATGTGTTCGTTCACCGCTGATGATGGATGCGATGACAGATGTTTCAGCAAAGAATGAAGACATGATGCAGCTTCTGAAAGAAGGTGATCGTTTGAATTTATTTACTGTCTCTTAATTTCTTTGCTCTTGACGATGTTAACGATATTACGGTGTAACCTTTTCTATAACCAGGAGCCCATCACAGTGATGAATCAGCTATAGCTGATTAAGAAAATGCTTAAACTGTAATCTGATGTCTCACCTCTTCTCGGGGTACATTGTCTCCCCCCCCCCCCCCCCCCCCCCCCCCCCCCCCCCCCCCCCCCCCCACCCCACTCTCCTTATGAAAGTTAGCTCCACCACAACGAATTCGCCCAAACATATATAGCTCTTTATATTTTCGAACTTTAAGCCTTCGGGAAAAATTCGGTATTCTATCTCGTTCCAAAATGATCTCGCCCAAGTAACTACATACAAATACAGTAAGGGGTCTCTTTCTGTGGGAAGACTACGAGAAAACAAGAAACCGCTAGGCTGCTCCTAAAATGCTTGTTCTCATCTGAACGGACCTTTATATTTTCAACCGTGAAACTCTTCTTTTAAGGACAACCAATACGAAACGGTTCCTTTAAGAGCTACTCAATGCAAAGAGCTAACGATTAAGGTAATTTCAGGTCAAGACCGTTGGCGCATTTGTGCTGTACTTATATTGTAAACATTTAAATAAACCCAAACTTCCAAAATGTTTGGAAGCTTCTATTGAAAGGTTTTTATTTTGATCTCAGGTATCTTTAGTGATACTCACCTCCTCGCTCTTATGTACTCTGGTGAACTGTGTTACTGGCATTGGAAGATTGTAAAGGAAACAACTACAGATCAGTCTGTGAAAGAGTCGAGCGATGCGGATGAAAATTGTTCAGGGAACTTTAATTCTGTATCAAATGGAAGGCGACTTCTTCAAAAGTTTGTGAACATTGTACAGGACTGTTTTAAAGGAAGAGGCTGGGATTGTTCTAGGGCTGAACAAATTTTGGCTGAGTTTCCTGAATGTTAATCGTTTGAAATATTTTTCCCATGAAGAGACGCTATGGTTAAGTTTTGTAAACCCAAAACAACAGTAATCGCCACAACCAAACATATGAAGGGAAAATTTCGCAAGGATGTGATGAAAAACCATAGAAGAAACAAGCAAACTTTATGAAGAGTGGGAAAATGAAAGTCACTGAAAAGTAAGCGTTTTTAGTTTTGTATGTTAGTAATTGATTGGGTGGCAAGGGCTTTCTAGTCCAATCACAGAGCGTTCTGAAAAAGAAAATTAAACCCCCAAAAAAGACACAAACAAAAAGGCAATCCCCGATTGCTTTTAACGCAGAATTGAAAGTGTCCCGAATTGCAATTTCAGCTGTCACCAGCGTCTCAACTCTTTATTGTACGTGTGAGAAAAGCTGACCCGTTGTATGATAGGAAGTCTGCTATTCAGAGTATTTGGTTGAAGACGGTGAAAAAGATGATGAAACAGGGTCAGAAAAGAATCACTGGAAAGGACAAGTTACTGATGCAATTGTTTTTACACGACTGGCCGCTCAATCCGTGGAAACATTATAACAAAATGACGGTGTTGAACGCAAAGTAGATTTACTACAATGTTCAAGTTTATTAACAAAGTGTCGATCCTAACTGGAAGATGTAAATAGAATCGTTTTGCCTGAATAGTTTATGAAGAGTGACTTAAATTCTGTTTTACTACTTACTTAAGTACTTGGAGCTTTACTCTAAGGAGTCAACAAAGGGAAATTAATCCTTTCATCCTTTCAACGTGAAAGAAAAATATTAACTGGGGAGTATTGTTTGGTTTAACACCAAATTCTTAGCACTCAAAATACAATAAATGTACGATGGACGGTATGGAGAGTTGATATTTAGATCTGGAAAGTAGGAGAGCTAAAGAACAACATCATACCGTCACCTTGTTATTTTTAGATTTATCGTTAAATATGCTTTTTCAAAGACGAATATAAAGGAAAGTTGAGATTTTTTTTTACTTTTTCGTTTTGCCTTTGGATCAGTTCGCATTTTCGATGAATCCGTGTGCTTCTATAAATAGACGAAACACAATTTGAAAAATACTTTCAGCTTGGAGTCAAGGAGAGTGTTTTGGTCCACCATCTCTCTTTATCTTTCCGTACATCTCGTCATTTCTGTATCTATTTACATCAATTAATTGTACCTATTGCATCAACCGGAAGAGAATTAAATTATGTGTGACAATGTTTGCTCTTAGTCTCCTCCATAGCATTATGTCGAAGTGTCACGCAACGCTCCCCTTCCCCTCCCCTAAGAGACTTCTCAAAGAGCGGCTTCGGACACTGTTTCCTTCTGGCTTCTACTGCTGGCGTTTTGTCTGTTGAATGCTGGCTTCGTGTGCCCTTTGTAACTTATATACGCCGTCTGACAAGTGGGGGATAAACGCGGTGTGTTGGTAGCAGACGACAGACCATGTTTTTCTCCTTCGTTTTTCACTTCAGATCCATCTGATAGAAGACTGCAGTTCACAGTAGGCGAGGCATGCGAAGGAAATTCAGGAGAGTCCTTTGGTGCAGTCGAGGGGGAGGTGTAAGTGGGACTCTCAGGCGGTATGACAAAAAAACGCCCATATGTATCTTGGATTTCTTTTGCAATGTTTTGGAGACGGGAATTAAATTCTTTCGTTTCTGTCTTTTTAAATAGCTCGTCTATCCCCTTCTTTGCTTTCTTTTTGGCAAGTTCTTTCGCTTCATTGTGATAATGCTCCAAAGCCTCTTTTGCTTCAACATGGTGATAATAATCAAGACTTGGTATTTTAAGATGTTTTCCCTTCCGAACGCATCGACGGATACAGATTGTGGTGAAGAGAACAGACATGGCTACCAGCATTAGAGACCATCCTGCTATTTGGCTACGGGTTTTGTAGTGCTCCTCTTGCAACCTAGTGCGTAAGTCGAGTTTAAAAGAGCATTTTTCGGTTGTATTTCTCGCGGTGAATCCACTGGTCAGAGGAGGACCGAAAAACGCGCATGTATAGTATTGTTGCTGTAGAAAGGACAAAATCAACCAAGCGACTGGAGCGATGGATGCTCGCACTAATACATCAATTATCATTAAGAGCGCTTTGAGATGGCGGCGGGTGAAAGGCTTGGTTTCCTTCTTTGTGACAGAATTCCTTCTCGAATGGCTCCATAAGTCTCTATCTACCAGGATTCCAATGAGAAACAGGAGAACGGCCGGCGCCCACAAAAAAGCCAGTCCGTAAGCGAAGTGTCCTTCACAAGGACAGCTAAACACGATACTTTCAAAGAACCCCTCCAGGCCAATCGTCACAGCTGCTATAGAACCGTACATCAGTGATCGACGCGACCTTTTGAATAGTCCTGTAAAGGAGGGAAGGACGGTGTTCATGTTGTCCGAGAAGACGAGGCGAAAATAAGGATTCAGACGAAACTGCGTTGTCAACAGAAAGACTCTAACTTAATGAATACAAACACTACGAGCGAAAATTGATTTATATTGCGAGTGTTTCGAAAGGTTTTGAAACTTTCAGTTTCGGTCAGTTTGAAAAGGGTTCTTTGTTTAAGCAAGGTCGTGTTCCAACCGGATGTGAAACAAAGAAAGAAAAAGATGCCCCACCCAACTCCCCACGATCGCAAACGGACTTTGATGTCAGTCACCGAAAGTCCCTAACATGAAAACGAAAGTCTCTTTGCCACTTCCCTAAGCTACATTTATGTCCCTTTTCGCTAAAACAGGTTTGTTGATGGATAAAATAGAAATAAAACAATGAATGAGAGTTAGGAGGAAAGGTTTTGAACGAATACGTGAGTGTAGAATATCCGTTATTGAAAATTGACCGTTCTACTTTGCTTTTTTGAGACCGATCAGCTGTTCGGATTACATCAATTTAAAATATCAACATAATAAGCTTGTTACGTGAAATCGTTTATCTTGAACTTTTTTGAGGTAACAAACAAATAGAGAGACGCAGTTGAAAAAACCAAAAAACCGAGACTGTCTGAACAAATCGTGCGTTTCCAACGCTAAAACCTGAGAGCCCGTGTTAAAGTTAACCCATGTTTCTCTACTAATTGTTCTAAAATTTTTACATTAGTTTGTTTATGGATGTAAATCGGTCATCTCATCTGATATTGATTTTTCCATTTTGGACCAAATGGTACAATGACAAAATGACCCGAAATAGTGTTACTTGACCTCTTGAAACTGATCTCTTTTTCCTCTGTAAAGGGATGACTGTTGATTGTCTCAGACATTTTCGTTTTCACAAATACCTAAAAATAACCAATGATTGATTCCTGAATCAGGGGACTAAGAGTCATTACCGTCCGTACACAAAATATACCTCAAAACCGAAAACACAGATTACTAAGGAGGAGTTATTTCCAGTAGAATTTACTTGACGAAACAAAAAGCATCTACATTTGTGGAAGGAAAATGATAACCATATGGTGATTAAGAGAAAGATATTACAGTTCAAGGCGGGAAGTTTTTTTCTTTTTTCTTTTTTCTTATCGAAAGCAAGTTATATCATTGTATTAAAATCACGGTCTGAGTTATTATTGCTTGCGGATGTGGATAACTGAGTTATTATTGCTTGCGGATGTGGATAATTGATAGGTCCTTTTCTGTGTCTGTCGTCGAGATGAGCATGAAAATAGCTTCCTGAGCTCTCCGAGCTTTTTTCCCTGTGATCGCACCAGAGGGAAGGTTTTTTAACCACCTGTCCTATAGAGAGAAAAAAGCTGAGCTTCTCCAAAAAGGCGTTTTAGGCATGTTCGAGTTATGCACTATCTCTTGATGTGATGTTAACATAAAAGACTTTTTACGAACGAACATAATATGACGTCACAAAAAGTACGAAAGCGCAATGTTACAGACAAGACGTCGTGAAATAACGCGCAGTTCGAAAGCTCGGCTGTTTTCGAAATATGGACGGGAAAAATTTGAAATTGCGAAAGCGTGGTTATTTTCCTTTATTTTGATGTTGCTTGCCCTGAAAACCTTCCTTTGGCGAAAACAAGCCAATGAAATATTTCATTTGGTTTAGCTCCCCTTTCACTGATTAATCACTAGTTATTTTTGAGTGAGGACTTGAGAAACGCGACCTAGTGTCACGTTGGGGCATTGGAGTGTTGTCTATGAATACAGATCGCCGTACTGCTGCGAGAGTTCAATGTTAATTTAGGCGGAGCTATGAATAAAGCGCTTCATTTGGATGCCTCGTGGCCACGGGTGATCTTTCGCTGGTAAGAATTTTGGCGTTGAATTAGTTGTTCTTGGTAAAGGTTGCCCCTGATTGTAAGGTCGATATCACGAATATCAAAGTTAACATGATTTTACATTGTATACCAATTTAAAATTGGAAGGTTGGCGCCCAAGGGAATTCCTCTTCTATGTGTTTTGATATCTGACGTATCATCTCCTTATTGTCACTTGTCTCTCTGTATTTTTCAAACAAAGCTTCGACGTGTACCTTAGCTTGTTCTTTTGCTAAAGGTTCCACCTTTTGGTTAAACAACCTGATTTCTTCTTCGGCCAGATAATGTTCATATTCCTGTTGATCTTTGATTGCTGTGTCGGACTTGGAACAACATCGATCGACGGAGATTGATATCGTTGCAAAAAGCATCGTGATCGACAGCATAATAAACCCAATGACCTGGGACTCTGTGTTAGCAGCTTCGAACTCGCTTAAGATTTCAGGATGTTCATCTGGCGTAGTTTTGTTAAGTCGAGTCTCTAATGAACCCAGCTTTGCACAGACGTAATACTTCGTATCAAACAGAACAAATAGAAGCCATACTACTGGCGGGAGGGTACTGAGATACACAAATCTTCTCGAGCGTTGCCAGATTACTCGACGAAGATTTCTAGGAAGGCGACAGCACCCTGCCACCATCTTCCAGAATGATCTTGAGATTATCAGCGCGAAACAGAAGAATACCACCACTGGGGCAAATATGAACAACATACTATACAATTTATGGTGACGTTCAGGGCACTTGAAAACCAACTTATTCAAAAACTCTTTCAACCCCAAAACAAGTCCCGATATAAAAGCTTGTTGCAAGGGAAGTTCCACTTTTTGTATAATTTCTTTAAGAGAAGAGATTCCGCCTGTTATCAGTTGGCCGAAACTTGGGTTTACCAGGGCGCCCTCCAAGCTTTCCGCCATTCTTACACCAACAGTTTCACACAAAAATGAATTAATTGAGACAATTGGTATGTAGTTGCTATTGTTTTGTGATGTAATTTCACGGTTACGTGTTTTGGACAGATGCAAAAGTTCCTCAACTACCACCCGCTGAGTACCTGCCATTTGGATTAGCGGTCTTTGCTAACTTGAATCTATTTCCTAGCTCTAAATGCATTATGTTGTCTTCTAAAGTATTAGTTTCACTACTTGTCGCGATTTAAATGGCGAACGATTTTACGAAACATGAACAAACCCTTTTCTGCACGTCGATGGCGTGAAAACAGGAGATTTTATTCACATAAATAATACATAGATTGTCACTTAGCCCACTATACGATCATCGGAAATAACTGTTTCGTGAAATCAAAAAAAGGAATACTTTTTTGTATGTAAACGCTACTGATTTGCCGAAATCGGAAAAAATGTAAGATTACTTTGTGTCTCAGGTAAAAACATTTAGCCGTGCATTGGTGTAGGGATGGGAAATACCAGGCAATTTTCGTGCGTTCACCAGTAAGGACGTTTGTTATGTTTCCTAGTGAGTAGCGACTTACAGTGAAAGTGTTTTGCATCGAAATTGTAGTAATGAAGCTCTCTTTTGTCGTGACGATTATGTCTGTCTGTTCTTGTTATGCTTGTGGCTCACTCATGTGCAGGAATGATCATCATGCGGTGTTAAGCCATTTGCTTTTACAAGTGCGTCGGTAGATCCCCTATTAGTGTCCTAAGGTCAGATTTGAAGTTGTGTATTTGACATAGGTTTGTGTATTTTAATAAATCAACACGTATACATATGCCTCAGGATCTTCCCACGTGAATTGGTTCATGGGCAACACTACAAATATAGTGTTAATAAGGTCACACCTTGGTACTTTTACCAACACTGTTAATGGAATCAATTGAATATATTCCTCATCGATCTTGGTCACATCAATACACTAATGAAGTCCACTTCAAATCACTTCTGTGAATCAAAACTAGAAACTATATATAAAAACAAATTTTTAAAGCCAGTTGAAAAGCCTATATGTTGCCGTTGATGCGTCGTGCTGCGTTAGATCGACAGAGAAACTCAAGTTTAACATGAATATTGTCATTAAACTTAAGATCATAACTTTGCAAATTTACTACCTCACCCACCCTCGCGGAGGAGGAGAATTGTCACGAAGAAATGGCAGACTTAAAGGTCTCACAACTCGAGTTCTCCATCTTGAAAAACGTGGACTAGATTTTTTCAAGTTTTTTAAATTGATAATCCGTGTAAATCTTTTCCATCCTTACGATTCTTGGTTCCTTTTCGGTTAATTCGTCCAAATGTTTCTTTTTCCAATTAGACTACCCTCATTTTCACTTACGGGAGGACATGTGGAGGAAAGGTCTATTCTGATTGGCTAGTTTGAGGGCTGCTAATGCCAGTTTTGTGAAAACAACGATGAGAGTGGATTCAAAATGCCGAGACCTGGCTCCTTCAACCATTTTACCCCAAGAAGTAAGCAAAAGGAACATTTCCATACAATATTCATATATTTTCTGGTAGAAAGGTGACGAATTGAAGAGAAAAATATTGAATGCAGGATATTGTTTGATTTTACACCAAATTCTCAAAGCTAAATTAAAAGAAATGTATAGAATTAGTATAAAAAACGTTCGGAGTGGAAGGTACCACTCTGCCTTTCTGCCATGACGCGCAATGAACCATTCCAACATTAATCAATCAACCATGATTTGACGTCAAATGTTAAAGAGTGCCTGAGGATATCGTCATATTCACTCTTACGTTATAATTGAAAGAGTGAATTAATGACTCTAAATAGTCGTAATAAGTCTGTGACAATAACTGTATCCACAACAATATTTGCGGGCGTTTCATGACAAAGCATCAGGTCGTGGGAACAGAGGAACCGAGAAATTGAAAAAGGAAGTCAACACTGGCACACAAAGGAATTCTATGACTAATGATTTCAAGTTGAAACTTTTAAGAGAGAGATTACATATGTAAATCAAGTTGATGAGGATATTTTATGAGTAAACACAACATCGCGTGCCTTTTTTCCCATCAAGTCTGGGTAACAATGACGCACCATTGAGAGCAATCAAAGTTGTCACCTCCTGTGTGTGACTGACCAGCATGAAACACCGTTAATCCGCTCAAAGTGAATTTCGCAATTTCGAACCTATCTTTGTAATCATTAAGTACTCTTCGTATCGAAACAAAACTGTCGGAAGCTTGGAAACAAACAAATTCATCTGCCAGCAACCCACCACCAGAAGTTCTAGAAGTTTCTTCCGGTCGTTCCGGTTAAAGATTTTTGTAAGCGCACATTAATTATGACTCGGCTTTTATTTCAGTGCTAAGGTGGATCAATGCCTAAACTACCCTCGGATGAAACATTAACATTTTGAAACATTAAATATATCAGAATTGTCATAATCTGTCAAACAACACATGATAGATATCCTATTGTAATGAAAAACGCAAAGCAAGATTATGTCAAAAACTTGCCCAAGTTTTGAGCACTTTTTTTTTAATAGCAGAGTTTCGATTTTGATTCTCTGTCAGGCTACAGCTTTACAACATCTCAAGAGTGTCTATTCAAATTGTTGTTTGCAAACAATTCGTTTAAAAGTCTCTGAAGGAACAGCCATACAAATAGACACTTTCAGCTTTTCCACACAGCCGTAATATTCATCCTACAAGCCATACGTACATCTTTCAGTAGGTAACTTAAGCTTTTAAGACCCTTGGAGCAACCCTGATTTCTTTTATCCATTTAGCGCCCTTTAGAAGTTTGTCAATTCATTTGGGTCCGTTTAGAAGAACTTGCATTGCATGACAACCTATTGTTCCAGGAAGGCTAGTTTTTAACAAAAACGTGAATAATTCTACCTCAGTTTCTCCTGACCAGCTGTCCTAGATACGGACGCTAATCAGACACAATTTTTTAAATGCTTCAGCCAGGAATAGGTTGCTTTTTTGTGAAGACATTCCGATTTTTTCTGTGTGTGAAGAAATTCAAGTACGGCCTATGAAAATGAGGTAGTCGTAACTTTTAAGTTTACAATCAAAATGTTAGTTGATGTTAACAGCCGTTTTAAGTCTGTATTTAAAAAATACATGTGGACCATGATCATTACTAACTTGTAAATGGGCTAAGATCACGAGTCGAGAAGCATTGGTTGTAATAAGGATGGAAATTTAAACCGATTAAAAATCTCAGCTTAAAGTTAAAAGAATCGAGGCTATTAGTTCATTTTTAAAATTTATTTATCTATTTATTCATTTTATTTCACAAACCATTTACAACGCTCAGTTTTAAGAAAGATAATTATGAAGTAAAGAAGGGTATAAATGATTGAAACTTATCCCATGCCTTTTAACTAAATTGCATTTGTTCTACGATAGAATTGAAAAAACAAAGCTTAGGTTCAAGAGGAAAAAGAATAATATTTATGGTACTGAGATTTTAGGACAGTAAACAGGACAAAGTTTACTATTGAGGAAGATAAAACGATGGATTTACTCTTACGTAAAGTTAATATTAGTTAATTAAAAAATCGAGTTGATGGTCACGAAAGGTTTTATGAATCTTGACAGCGAGTGAAGAGTGTCACCGGGGCAAAAATGTCGCACAATAAAGTACTCTTGACTTTTCTTTTGAGGTAAAAATATTTTGATTAGAAATAAACCCTAACGGCTTTATATGTAAAATAAACATTTAAAGGTGCTGTGACTACAGTGGCATGAGATATCATGGATAGGGGAAAATGTGAAATATTGCATTAGGAGAGCAACGAAATACGTTAATGTGGCGGATTAACAGATATTTAATTCGCTTGGTCAAAATTTAATAATATAGGGTTAATTTGTTTGAGTCTTACTTATGACGACACCACGATATCGCTTACTGATCTGATAAGCCTCTTACGTCCAGTGAAGAGTGCATTATATGATATTATTTTCTAATCTTCGTGGCTTAATACGTTGTGGAAAAGAAAAGGAAAGGTGTTACGACGATATTACAGACTAGGACGAACTGATGTACAGCTAAATTCTCAGAAGTATCATTAAAGGAATGCGTGTGATCACCAATGAGAATTTGAGTATCGTAGTGTGACGGTTAAGGTTCATCGATTTCATAACCGGTGCCCCCACGTAAAGGCTTTGTGGTGAGACGTGGAATGATAGCTCGCGTAAATACAAACGCATAAACTCACGAAAGACTGGCAGTTTTCATTTTATTTGTTTTTCAGACCACCGAAACACCAACAATCATTTGAATAAATGCTAGTCACAAGTCAAGCACGCTGTGAAAAATTATTGTCGACCTGTACACTTTACATTTTATCATTTACGAACTCGTATGACTTTTTTTTTGGCGGTATATAGCTACAGAGTCCCTGAATTTGTGTGTATCCTTTTTCTGAAATATAGAGAAAAAAGTACACATTTATATTCTTTCACAGAGAGATCGAGAAGTTCTAATTTAAACTTCCCGTTATCCTTAACAAAATTTACTTTTAAAGAGTTGTTTTTTAGACATGCGAATATATCTACGTATCTACGTCAGAAACCTGCGCTGATCCTATACAGGACATAACCATCCGATCATGAATTTTATTCAGTTATTCATTTTATTTGTATTTCAGACCACCTAAACTCCAACAATCATTTGAATAAATGCCAATCACAATTCAAGCACGCTGTGAAAAACTATTGTCAATCTGTGCGTTTTACGTTTTATCATTTACGAACAGATATGACTTTTTTTTTGGCTGTATATAGCTACAGAGTCGCTAAATTTGTTTGTACCTTTTTCCTGTTTATATCAGGTATTTGCATAGATATTAGCTCCTGAAATACAGATAAAAAAAGTACACATTTATATCCCTTCACGGAGAGATCGAGAAGTTCTAATTTAAACCTTCCGTTATCCCCATTTAAATTTACTTTTAAGGAGTTGTTTTTTAGACATGCGAATATATCCACGTATCTACGTCAGAAACCTGCGCTGATCCTATACAGGACATAAACATCCGATCATGAATTTGCACGAGTCTTTGACACGACCTTTAAGCTTGAAAGCCTTCTGAAGCTATGAATTTTTGGACAAGTACCAGACCTCTATAATTACAGGTTTACAATGCCTTTATTTGATTCGTTCAAAAAAGAAAACACTTCATATCGTCCTCTATTAAGGAAAAAAACTTTAGAATTTAAGTCTCGCGAGAGACCAATCCTTGCAATCAACACACTAAATCGTTTCATTATGCCTCAGAAGAATAGGGCAGCCCTTAGGTATATGAAATCTCAAATGAAAGCCTAAATGAAAACCCAGTAACCCTTTAACTTCCAGAAGTGATTAACATGTATCTTCTCCCTATAATATCCTCACCTCATTCAACAAACGGATGATAAGAAAACTCAAACTTATCAGTTCGAAGTTGTTATCTTAATCTTACACCTATGAAACTCTCGATACTAATTTACAAAGAAATGTGTCGTAGCTAGAGGGGGAAATTAACAATCAGATCTCGGGGGTTCAAGGGTTAAGCTGTACAGGGCGGTTCGAACTGTTTAGATACAATAATTTATACATGCATGGTCATATGCTATTGTTCTGAGGCTATGCAGCGAAACTCAGTAATTCTGACTCAGCTATCAAAGAAAAACTATTTTGACAGCTTAAAAGAGAATTGCTGGTAGACTTCTAAGAAATCTACTGTAGTTAAAAAAAAATATCGGGAAATTTTGTTATATACATATTAATTAGGCATGTGCAGAGTGCATGGTATTATTGCGATGTTAACTGTACTTTGGCTCTTTGTAGAATGACTTACCTATGACTCTAACTTTAGCAATCCTTATAAGATTAATCTATCGCTGAAATATATATTATGATCATATCCAACATTTGTTCAGGTGATGAAGAATGTAAACGTATTTAAAACAAGAGCAATTATGTATGTACAAGTGTACAAGTGATGTCGTTGTTCAAAAGTCATGCTTCTTGTGCAAACATTCGAACGCGCTTGTTTCCCGTGCTAAGAAGAGAAAGCGCTTGGACCATTTTCTTGTCCTTGTTGTCCATTGCGATTTCAACAGGTGTAAGTCCTTCCCTCGTGTAAGCTTTTACGCTCGCTCCATTCCTAATAAGGAAAATTACAGCTCTAATATCACCCCCGCAGACAGCGGCGTGAAGAGGCGTCCAACCCTCTTTATCTCTTATGTCTACCGAAGCGCCAAACTTCAGAAACACTTCCAAACATTTTACTTTACCTTGAAATGCAGCTTCGTGCATTGCAGTCCCTCCGCTGGCGTTTAAATTGTCCAACATAATGTGTCCAGCGCTTAAAATTCCATGAAGCAGGCGAGAGTCATTCCTCGCTACAGCGGCGTCTAAAACGTATGAAGGATTTAAGAGACCTTCATCGTAATTGTTATTTAGCATGTCGAGTTCGTTCAGTTTATCTCGTGGTTCGTCTTTTGCACAATCGATGACAATAGCTGGTGGTGTCCTCTCTTGTTCTGTGGGTACTGTATGCCTCCTTTTATTGTGATAGGCGTGATTGTAAAGGTTTAAACCATTCGGAAATGCCACGTTTCCGACCGATCTACATCTCTGCAATTTCTCTTTCTTTCGTCTGTCTGCGTATCTTCGAACGGTTCCAGGCGAGTCGATTTGAGACAGTTCCATGACAGATTCTTCTGCTAAACACGCTTCAGTGCTTTTTCTTCACTTTAGAGTTAGCTGTTGACCTGTTTTCGCGAGAGTACTCTAAGTCACTGACAAGAATTAAGAGTTTACAAAGGAAGCTCTTCACTGCGACGCTTCAAATAACTTATGACAACTTCGCCGTATTGCAATGCCTTGTAACGTGCTTTGAGCTAAATTTACATCCGTGAATGCGCCAACCGCCGTCAGATGACGGAAACCTACTTCGCTGGTCACGAGATAACATCCCTTAATCCGTGTTGTAATCCTTCTAAATACAGTATTTCATGCTCCACTGCTTGCCTTAATGGTCCTTCAGGGGGTAATTAAGATATTAGCATTTTCACAAAAGGCATCGCTCGGCACCTCTTTTGTTTGATATTCACGTCACTTTAACAATTGGTGCTCACAAGAGAGATTGGAGAGTAAGTTCCTATGACAAAGACAAGTCAGTTTGTGATATTGTGCGCAGCATTTTCCTTTTTGTGTTAATGGCGCCCTGTGTATGCGGTGTTTGTTTAAAGCTCACAACAACAACATAGCTTTACTTAACATGATGGCTTTTGACTATGTTTCGTATTGTTATCCCTTTCGCCGGTCATTGCATTCGCTTAAAAGTTCAAACAAACTCCACAGAGTAGTTTATTTTGTATCATAACAGATGACTACCATTTCTGCACAGGCCGAATAATCTCAGCTATTGAGCCAAATTTACTGTCCTACAAATGCAATTAAGTTGCCATCTTGCAAACACAGTCAAAATTATTTTGCGATTTTAGGGAATGGTTTTCTTTTGTTGCTCTTTGTAAACCTGTTTCCGGATCTTCAAAAATAAATCAAAAGAGTAAACAAGAATTCACGACAAGGTCTTGTTGTGAAATTGCAAACTTGTTGTTGAGTGCTGGGATCGAAATTTCAAAAAAAATTCCGAGTTGTACGTCTTGACACAAGTATATCCTCTTTAGCAAGACAATAAATCCTCCTTCAAACTTAATAGAGAATTTAGATATTTTCCCAGCGAAACGTAGTGCACAGAATAGTTCTTTAATTTGCTTAAAAGATATTTACTTTTTTCCGTTTGTTGACATGGCAGTCTACACGGCTTATTTAAGAAAACATTTTTGTCCACGGAGGTCAATTTCCACGGGTTTTAACTTCGATGTTCATGACAAACTTTTGTTGACGCCGTATTCAGGTCACGTTTCTGAAAATGAATTAAATTTTACAAGGATCCCCGTGTTCGCGCCATCACATCACTTCATAGTAAACGTACTCCACTACTGTCTAATGTTCTCTGTATGTAGTTCGAGAGACTGTCAAATAACTGTCCCAGACCCCAAAATTGCGCGCGGCCAATGGAGTTTCTCCCTCTGAAGAAAATTACTTCTTCATTTTTAGGCGAATACTGTATTACTATGTAGTTTAAGAGTTGCACCCAATTTTATTTTTATTCCATGATGTCTCACAAGTTTTTTTATGGAAACTAGGAATGAAAACCGCAAGCACTTCAGCTAAAATAAGATTGTAGCCGTGGGAGATGAAAGGAAGCGAAAATATTGGCTTATACTTCGAATGTACGGTGTTCCCTGATATTTTTTGTTTTTTTTTTCCTTTTCGCCTACAGAGAAAATTCATGACTACATTCAGAATTATGTCCGGTTAGTTTAACACTCTTTAGAATGTAGAACGAATTTTTTTGTTTGTTTGTGTATATTGTTTCACTTCGTCTTTTATATTCTTTTGGGTAGCTGGAAATTTACATAAGCAAGCTGGATTCAGACATAGTCGGACATGACGTTAGTTCTGGTCACATTGAACAAGTCAAGTTATTCTTCAGCTGCATGCTGAGAAACGAGTTGGCAAAAAAAAATCTGTTTCGTACGACGCCGCGGCGACTTAGGATGACAAGTAACGAAACAGAAAAATTCCTTTTGTGACTCATTTATTGCTAATAAAATATCTAAATATGTTAGACGACCCACTGATGAGACATGAAAGATAAAAGACGTTAACTGCAAGAAATAAATGTATATTGTTTATAGCCCGTGAGACGTTTTAAATAATGATCTTCAACAGAATACGACGATAGCTTATTTTTTTCTCCCTTACCAGACATTGGCTCTCATTAGATACCTGTTGTAAACTCAGTGGAAACAGATTTTTATCTTTTTTTTTCTCAATATTTTCTGGAAATGTCATCCTTGAGACCTGTTGATTAACATGTGGTTAAACTTTTTTTTTCTTTCTGTACCAAATTAATATCCTTTATGTCCAAAAGAAAATGGTTAGTTTTTAGGGCATGCGTAGCGTACCTCGCCTCTTGAAGACTTAAGCCTAAGAGAAATTTCGGTTGCTTTAAGTGTTAGAAACGACCTAAGTTAAGAAAAATCGGGGTGAAAATTACATGACTCCAGATCAAAATGATCTTAATATCGTAATACGCCTCTTTCATTTGTTTTCCACCACCCTCGTATAAAACAAACTTCAGGCCTCCCTATCTCTCTTCTCTCCTCAACCCCATCTTTGCTAATTCGTTTATGCACGAACTTTGTTTGATAAACAAAAAACTTTTGGTTGCAAGAGTTGTTTCTTAGGATGCCAAAGGAAGAAACTTAACTTTTTCCAAATATCTACTTGGTTCTCTAGGAAGTCCAGTCGGCGCAGTTTCGTGGATCAAACATGAATTTTTCAGCTTATTTGGAAAACAAATCGAGTGCAACAGGTGAAGTAATTTATCAACATTGTTTTTCGTTAGAGATTATTACTAAGTTGGTTACCTCAGTTAGTGCTTTGCCAGTTTTGAAAATGTTGTGTCCACGAAATCATCTCCACTAAAAGGGACGATGGGTTGGATACGAGCACTTTTTCTGTCGACTGTTGTCCTGCAAGTGTAAGTAAATCAAGTCCCTCTTTTTGATGTAATTTAACTCGTCTAGAATTTTGCTTTGAACGTTCTTTGTATCCAACAGCAGATACTTAAACAGCATATTTTAAAATGAAAGATGAAAAGTGTTATGGGCTAATAGTTTCTATAAAAGTAACTAACTTGAAAAAAAGTTTATTCTGTTGCTCTCAAGATTCTTTGGTCATCTTGAGAACGCCTTTTAATGGGCTTTAATTGTTGCTAATTTTGTGTAGCGTTTTAAGCGAGAAAATCATGTTAATAACGACGCCTGTTTCGTAAACGTTATCGATGATAAGTTTTCTAAAATCTTTAAATTTCCTCTAATAATCATACCTTCCTTTTCAAGTTATCCACCCTTTGGATTTCTACAAAGAGAATTTGATCTTGAGATTCGATCGAAAATATACAATATGCAAACCTGTTGTCCACCATCAATTGCTAGGCTTATTTCAACGTTAACATTATTCAATTCACGAAATCAACAGACAATGTAATTAATGCAGGAACAAGTGGCATTAAAAGATCGATCTTCACTTGGAAAGTCGACCAAGGAAATGATTTTCCTCTTTGATCTTTGTCAGTTAGGTTTCCTTAAGTGTTCATTCTTATGTATTATTTATCGATTAAGAAATTAGTTACCAGTCCTAAATTAAGAGAATTTTTTGTTACTAGACATGAAAGAGCACCTGGGTACTCTACAACGTAAAACTTACACTAAGACAAGCGTTCGCTCACTGAACCATAGAGTCCAGTTGAGAAGAAATAATATGGTTGCATGCGTGTGAACAAAAGTATTTTGTTTAAAGTTAAGGAGACACCTTGCACTTTGCAGGTCTTGCTGTTTCTTGTTTGTAAATATGCCGCGAAAATTTGTTTCAAGTGTGGTGCAATAAGGAAAAACATTACGTCCCTCTGTAACGGTGGTTAAAAATATTACACTGGGAAAAAATTTAAATCAAATACAGCAAGCATGACAATCTGTCATTTAAATATTTTATGTCAGTCTTTTTAATTGTGATGAAATCAGTTCTAGCTGGTGAAAGCAAAACTTTTTTTCATAGTTTTCGTTGTAGATTATCATCTCTTTGAAGTAATTAACAATTATTCCATAAATGCATGTTGATAATTGTTCAACTGATAAAATTTCAATAAATCCTGAATGTTTGGATATCTGGTGATTTTTTCAGCTTCGCAACAGTTGTGCAATGTATTTCCATATAAGGTGACTCGGAATATGGGCTGATAACTGTAGTTGAGTGAAACAATCAGAATATTCAGAGCTGAAAATTTATTGATGAGAAATATACGAGTTTCTTCGACTAAAACCGAGAGAAGTGCGATGTTACATTCGTATCTGTTGAAACTAGTGTTTATATATTTCTTCACCCAGGTACCAGTCACGGGAAGTAAATGGTGAGTTTTCCTAAAAGAGCTTTTTCAATTAAGTGCTTAAAGTAATCGAAGTTTGTTTTGGTTTTGCTTTACTTTATTCTGTGATTGGTCCAGAAAACTTGCGCATTTTTCTCAACCAATCAGATGCCATTTGGTCACTCATTGGCGGAAAGAGTTAAGTCAGTGACGAATGTTGATGCAAAGACACACTGATTTCAGTGCAACTCATTAACATACTTTCATCTCAAACAGAACATGAATTAATTTTTTTTTACTCACAAATATTAGCGATTTTGACACGAATTACTAAATCGGTACCATCGATACAAAATTCATGACCTGTGTTGTTTCTCTTGCTTCTAGGAAGATCAATCCCCCGTCCAGGTATGTTTTGAGCATCATGGCTTAAGTCCATTACAATAAAGCCAACGAAGTTTCCTCTCAATTTTAACAGTTTTAGAATGCAGGCCCTCTAAGATAAAATGTTCCTAAATAGAACTATTCTTCCGGTAAGTCAAACATAACTTACTTCGATCGATGAAATCTGAAGGGTGCGTAAGTGATAGCCCTTAACTTATTTCTATTTCTTTTAGCTGGAAAAAGTTGAGCATAACGAACGGGCCCGTTGAATTTTAATGCATCTAAAATGAAACCTTAAAAAATGAGCACGGGTGTACCTTAAATACCC